TTGGAAATACTTGATCTGTATTAAGATTTCAAAAAATTTACAATTGAAAGTACATTTACATGCCCAGGTGTTCCAAACATACTTAAAAGTCTTCCAGTAACTGAATTGAGTATCAAAAAGTCATTCTTCTTTAATATCCATACCCACATTGACAAAATTTGTTCATCTTTTTAGAAAATTGGTTTATAGCAAAAGCATATTAGTTTCAAAACTACATCTGTCCAAGTCAAGTAAATTCACTTACTCTTGTGTCAACTTGGTATTATTAACATAAATTCACGGGTATTGCATAAAATGAAAAGCAACTCCAAAGTTATCAATATCAGCAAGGCATTCTTTAAATTCTTTTGTAGTTTTTGCAGTCAATTTAGATAATACTGTCAATTATGATTAAAATCATCTGCATATTGATTCATGTTAGGAAAATGTGTAAAATCACTATTATTGATTTGTATTTTGAGAAGTTTCAATCTCAACATTCTTTTACCTTTTACCTTTCCATCTAGTTCACAAATCTAGCTTTAAATTTTCCTTGGAGCTTCAAATTAGCACATTTATATGCAGTGTGATATTGGTGAGAAAACATACATCAGTCTGCCGTATTTTTGTCTTTGATTATTCAGTAATGGGCAAGTATTTCTTTTGTTTAAAAAAATCTTTAGTTGGACTTAACCTTCAGTAAATGTTTGTAGAACTCTCTGGAAGCTCAACCAATAAGCATTGAGAAAAATGCAAGATCATTAAATACGTAGTCGTCTATTTCTTTCAAGAGTTTCATAAACTGACAATAATTCAGAGCATTTGCATGTGTATACTGAAAGTTATTAACAACTGTATCTATGACACTTTTCATAGAGTCTGCTTCATAAAACTTAGCACAAAAATTTTCAATATGTACTATATGAATATATACATCTTATGAAGCAGTAAGAGGAAAATCAGTCTGGATGTTTTATTTGACACAGCTGGATAAACACAACACTGTTCATTGTGCTAGAAATGAAAATTTTCATATATAGCTGAATTTGATTTGTTTCATATGACCTGAATTTTATAACTGTATTTATGATTATTTATTCCTGGATTTTGCTTTTGCTGCTTATCACTCATCTTCTTTTTTTTTTTTTAATCTTTTGGTCCAGCTCCAACAGAGGCCACTCTGCACCCACATCTAGGTAAGTGTTTAAGATCCTGATGTCATGAACCTTAGTAGTTGCTCTACTTGTTTTACCCCTCTGGCTACGTGGGAAGATGGTATAGAGATGAGGAGCCAAGCTGCCTAGCTTTATCTTACCTATACCATTTACTTGCCAAGGTACTTAACCTTTCTGTACCTCAGTTTCCCCATCTGTAAAATGGAAGTAATAATAGTACCTACCTTATAGGATTGTTATGAGGGCTAAATGAATTTGTATTTGTTAAGTGTATAGTAAATGATAGGTAAGTGGAAACAAACACTCGAAAAATAACCACTGAGGCTTACCCAATTGCCATTGTAAAAATTCTGTAGAAAACAAGTGGTCTTCAAGAGTTAAATTTCTTATTTGAGTCAGTGAAGACTTGTTTTAAAAGCAACTTCCTACACTACACTATTTAATAGGAAGGAAGAGAAATCGTGCTACCTGGTTCCAGCCTTTTCGATGTCTCTCACTGTGGGACCTCCAGATAGGTCAGTTATTTGTCTCATGGGCTTTTCCTTTCAACCTATAAACCCAATTAATTTATTTTTCTCTTTGGAAAATCTGCCTTGAGAAGCTCTGCTTTTATGTAATGCTACAGCTTGGGGCTCCTCTTATTTGGCAGACGAACGTAAGCTCTTAGAAGCATGCCTTCTGGCAGCCGAGACAGGCTGGTGACCCACAGTAGCCCAGCTGAGTCTCCGCCAGGTTGGGTATGTGAGAGAACTGCACCCTGTAGGCATTTCAGGCACCACAGCTAATGGCTGAGAGGCATCATTAAATCACTCCCATGCGCAGAATAAATCACAGCATTCTCTCCAGTGTAAATCTGTATTCTCCCTGTTTTCGTACCTAAGGCTTCGTCTCAGCAGTCATTCCTTTCCGTACATGATGATTCACTGGTTTCCAGTGACTTCGTTATGTGCTTACCTGCTGGCATGCCTGGTACAAAGGGGACTGGGATTGCCCTAGGTGGCGATGTCACCAAAGAGAATTTGAAATTATGCTTCCAATATTTGGAGGTGATTTTAATTACCCAGTGATGTCAGAGAATTATTTCTGAGTGAGCCAAAAAGCATAAAATATCACTTTAGAAAAAAATAAAAATGTTGATTATTTTTCTGTTAATCGGATGATATGCTTTTCATTTTTCCAAAAAGCATATGTTAACCAGTTCAGACAAGATTGCAAAGGAACAGAGAATTTTGATTAGCTGAGACAAACTTTTTAAGCAAACCATGGGAATCAGTTGAGAGGATCTTTTAAGTACTAAATTAATTTTTTACAACTTGAGTAGAAGTAATTATCATTTCTCACACAAACTTAAAAATGAGCATACTTATATTGTAAGCTGGCCGTGAAATTGTTTTTATTTGTCCACTCCTTCAGTGGAAGTATCATGTACATTACAGTTTATGAAGTCATTCTTTGCTCTTGTCATCCCCAAAGTTCTTCTGGAGCTTAAAAACGGGTATTTAACACAATCTCAAGTGTACTGATAATATATTTAAAACCATGAATGGTTGGTGGCATTCCTCCTGACTCCTACCATGACTATCTTTGGGAGTTTTATTTATTTATGTAGGTAAATTCTCTTATGCAGTTTAGAGGAAAAAAGTTTTAACAAATTAAAACACATTAAATAAAAAATGAGTGAATATAGGGAACGAGAGAAAGAACCAGAACAGGAGGGATAATAGCACCGAGAAGAGGGAAATGGGTCAGTAAATACCACCAATTTTAGCTGGCAATAAATGGCCAGAATGCTCTGTCCCCACACTGAATCTGTTGTGGGCAGTGTCATGGAAGCCATGAATGTGTATGTTGAGAACTTGAGAGACAAGTCCTGAGTGGCCTTTCCTTGTCGATTACTGCTGACCTTGGCCTTTCTGCCACTCAAACCCAATGACAGTTTGGTAGGCTTCTCTTTGGGGCCTCTGGTTTCCAGACTTCTCAGTGTCCAGACAGGAGTCCCTCGGTGGTGTAGGGACTCCTGTTTAGACATCTAAAAGTTAAGTGCTAGCTGAAAGGTTGTTAATTTGAACCCACCCAGAGGCACCTTGGAAGAAAGGCCTGGCAATCTACTTCCGAAACATTACAACCTTGAAAACCTTATGGAGCAATTCTACTCTGCACACATGTGGTCACCATGATTTGGAATTGACTCAAAGGCAACTAACAACAGCAACAGATGTCTAAATAGCAGAACCTTTATCCTTGTCCCTTAGTAGTTTAGGGACAAAGCAACTGTACTTAACTGCTCATTTACAATTCAGTTTTAATTTAAGATACTGTTATTAAATGCATCATATGATGACACTTTTGTTTAGCAAACTCTATTGCTGTGGTATAATTTTTTTTCTAAGTACTTTGTTTTTCTTTTAGCTGAAATACACAGTGACAGTATTATCCTACGAGATGACTTTGACTCCTACCACCAACTGGGATTGAATCCAAATATATGGTAAGTTACAGGACTATGCTTCACTTCGGTTTGTTTAATGCAAAAAATGCTGCTGACTCTTTCTTTAGGAGCAGCTACTTAAAATTAAATTGCTCTTTGACACTAAGGTATTGGTGAGAATTGTTAAAACTGTGGAGCTGGGCTTAACGTAGACTGCATATGTCTATTTCTTGACATCTGTTAGAACCAAATCTAGATGTCCCTCAAAGCCATGGATGTGGTTAGACTGTTTTTTTCATTTGTCCAAGTTCTTTACATAGAAAATACTATGCTTTAATGTATCTGATAATTATATTTTTGCAAAATGAAAGAAGGAGAACGGTTTATCTGAAATGACCTGTGATTTTTGTCATACTTACAAATAGTTTTTAGGTTATCTGGTCTCTCCTTGAAAGGCTGTTTAGGTGTGACTCCACGGAATTTTCAAGGGCAAAGAAATGAACTGAAATTCATTAAAAACTTCTTGAATACATAAACTGATGTGTGAATTTGTTGGCAATTTACTGTGTTTTTGCTGACTTTGGAGGAAAAGATCTGTTGACCCAGAGCTACAGTTAGTCTGCACACTTTGGGGGAATATCTGAATTTGGATTTTCTGTAATATTAAATGTTTTGCATAAACAATTAAGAGTTCAAGAAAACTAGAAAGTCTAATATAAATTTTCAAGTTGCAACTGAAATCCAAGCAGTACTCAAGACTAAAAGAACAGCTATTTCATCCTTAAATGTCAGTATATAATATTCATTCCTGTTTTTGTTTATGTTCACTTGTTCAACAAATATCTTGTTGTTGTTGTTGTTAGGTGCCGTTAAGTCGGTTCCGACTCATAGTGACCCTGTGCACAACAGAGCAAAACTCTGCCCAGTCCTGTGCCATCCTTACAGTTTGTATCTATGCTTGAGCCCATTGTTGCAGCCA